TCGGAATCAGACTACGCATTGAAGATTGAGATCGAAGATTGAAAATTGAAATTTGACCAATGAGGGCAAAGGACTTTTAGCTCCTATTGTTTTGATTGGTCAAATTTCAATCTTTTAATCTTCAATCTCAATCTTCAATGCCTAGTCTGATTCCGGCCTAAGAGAGGCCATGGGATTTAGCTGCAACCTTATTTTGAAGCGCCTCTATGTTCACAAAACATGGACATTAAACTATGTAGCCAATATCCACGATCCCGTCGGAACAAACGATTGTTCGTCTTTGTTTATCTAACGGACCGAAAGTCGTGGACATAGCGAAGAATACAATCAAAAAATCGTGGACATTACCGACGGTATCATGGACATTACCAACGGGATCGTGGACATTGACTACGTAGTTCAATGTCCACGTTTTGTGGACATAGTGGCGCTTCAAAATAAGGTTGCAATCAAGAAGACTAAAACCAGGAGAGTCAACTCGCGTGGTGGGGTTGAGTAAAAAAGCGTCACCCGCTGCTTACCCCCAATCCCTGTTGAGGACGATGCTCAGTAGCTCACTGCGCATCGTCCCTACCCTTTTGGGGACGATGCTCAGTAGTTCACTGAGTACCTCACAAAATTGGAATATTGGTTTTCGATTTTCTTTATCTCCAGGATTGAAGTCACAATTTCGAACACAGCACACTCGCTTGGGCATCGTAAATCACATCGGATTAAATTTTTACGGTTTATGTTTAGTTCAAAATTCAATCAAACAGAAACAAGGTACGTTGACATGCGCAGTCACGAATTGAAACCGACTATATAGAGCAACAGAGAGGATGAAGCGCAAGAGTGGGGGGTGTCGTTCGTTTCCACTTCTTGCCTCACCCCCACTACCGCTTTTACGCCGAGTTGACTCTCCTGGTTCTAGTCTTCTTGGTTGCAATTAAATCGCGGGCATGGCTGCTCTCAGGCTTCTCTCTGCCTAACATACAAAGAAGATCATCTTGAAACTTCGAATCAAATCACATTAAGCTTGTTCGGTAACAATGGTAATTTGAATTACTTATAGCGAATTCGATTGGATGCACTGGTGCACATTAAAGCTGTCGTACACAAAATAACGTAAAGATATATTTATAAAAAATATAGAAATTGAATCTTGAAATACCCAATACATTTTATTGTACTATTAGGTAAAATATTTATTTCATAATTCGAAATATTTGCGTTACATTTTTATACTCACATTAAATCAATGTACAATGGGTTTAATATGTACCAGTGCGCATTAGTGCTTCCAATCGAATTCGCCATTAAATAACGCTTATTACGATCACATTCCTGTAAATACAATGTTGCATGTAACGTACATGTAACATAAAATGTCAGCTCAACAAGATAACTGTAATATATATGGTATATACCACACTATATTATATTACAGTTATCTTATTGATCTGACATTTTATGTTACATGTACGTTACATGTAACATTGTATTTACCGGGATGCTTATACTACTTTAGAGCGTCAGAGATATAACTGATCAGATTTATGTAATATATGTGTGTAACGTGTCGGTCAAACAATGTAAATAACATATGAGGGAATAATAAACTAAGATAATAAACAATTACAAACAGATACAATAAATATAGTAGCTAAGTTAATATGAAAAGCAATTCAAAAGTTAAAAATATTATAAGTTCTGATGTTACATTTAATTTATATCTTTCACAATGTTAACATAGTTTTGATATAAGCCTTCCGTATCTAAACGTAAATTGATGCTATTCTCCTAAATGTTCTAGTAAATAATAATTTTAGTAAATAAATTCTAGTAAATAATAGTTTAACTAAAAAGGCGGGGAGAAAGGGGATCGCTACGGGCGCTGCCATCCCTTGCTACGCCACTGTATGGAACGCTCATTGTGAGCAGATTTTTGCATTTTTCGACGCGCCGATGGAAATAATCGCAGTCATAAAAGCTGGGCCGGCGCGGCTAGGCGCGGCGTCGTCTAATGGCGAAGTCGAATCACACGGATGCCACGGTCGCCACGGTCGCTACGGATGGC